CCGTCCACTCGTCATCACGCATCCGTCCAAAATGCGGCAGATCGGTTCAGTTCGGTCGGTTTTGGCGGATCGGTATATCCGCTGCTCACCCCTTTTATTGTAACATTATTATTTTTAATGATAAAGAGATTATTTTTCAGTATCATATTAAAAAATTATTCCCAACCGTTAGATCTAGCTATGGGGAAAAAATAACATTTAGGGAAAATGCAACTTGAATAGTAAAGAATAAATTGAATATAAAAAATGAAATACTTTTATCAAAAAATTAAATCATTGTTGTAATTTTACTTATCATTGATATTAATTCGACTCACAATTGGACCTATTTATTAAGAGATCAAACTTTGCTCATCGCACAATACGATCATCAATTAAACAGTGATGATGAAACATAATATATTGAATTATCTATCAACACATCTAAAAGTTTTCATACTAATATACGATGTTGAATTATTAATTACTAATACATCTAAAAGTTAAAATTATTAGAAAGAGAAACTCTATAATACAAATGTGGTTTGTATTATATGTCCCAATTATGATATTTGAGATTTTTGGTTATGACCTATTTTGGTGTTAGTTATATTTTAATTATGATTCATTGTGATGTTAATTATGATCTATTGTGATTATTATTTTAGTTATAATCGAAAACATTTTTGGTTATGTGTGTTTGGTTATGACTTATTATTTTTTTAGTTATCACTAAAAAAGATTTAGTTATGACATTTGTGATACTCAATATCACAAATGTCATAACTTGTATATGGTATAGATCTCGAAAAAGATATATATGTATAATAGCATGACCACTTTATTATATATATATATATATATATATATGAGGAGGAATAGATTGGAGGGCGTTGTTTGGGCTATTGGATTCCACTATGGGTTCTGTTTTAATGATATGAGTTGTACATTTTGTCGATCACTTTGTGTACTTCATCCATGCAAAAAATTAGGTCGGAATTATTTAATTTATCATGTTTGTCACTATAAAAATTGATGATTTATTTTTTAAAATACCATTGTTGTCTATTTTTTGTTTTTAAATTTTTTTGTGACAAATACAATAAATTAAATATGCTACAATTAACAGGTCGACTTAATTTTTTTGTGATTGAAATACATAAAATGCCTTACAAAATGAACAGTTCGGATCATCAAAATGGGACCCGTGATGGGAATCATGGGCCCAAATAGTGCCCTCCAATCCAAAATTTGGACCAGAAGGCATTCTCCGTTATATATATATATTATTTTTGGGTTTGGCTTCTCTCAAGTTGATCATCTTAACTTGAAAAAGCATTTGGGTTTTGTTAGGCCTATTTTAGGTCCTATTTCAGTGAGTAAGTCATTTATATTTTAGGACTCGTTGAGTAAAATATTTATATAAAAAATCAAAATAAATAGACATTAGTAGTTATATATATGAATAAAAATGACTGCTCTTAAAATTACATTTGTAGTCATTTTTTTAAAATAAATATGATTCAAACATATATAGCTACAATATCTAATCATTTTGATTTTATGTATAAAAATTTTACTCAATGAATTGTAAAAAAGCAAACGATTCACAAATCACCAAAATTGATAAAAAAAAAAAAAAAATAGACTTATCCAACCAAAACGTTCTATCAAATTGAAGTGTTAATTTATGAGAAGTGAAACCTTATTTTTGACATTATAAATAACCCACAAGACGTCACGTGGCCAATGCTAAGCCACAAAAGCATAGAAGAGAGCATTTTGGGTTGATGAATTTCAATGAAAGAATAAAATCTGTATTGAATTCTTCTAGTCTTTACAATGATACATCCCTCAGATATATACACTACCATAACCATCTAACCTGACTCTAGTTCTAACTAATTCTAAACTCAATATAATCTAACTATAGTTAGTTATTGACGAATAGATTACATGGAAAACTCTATATATAATGTATGGATATGACTATGAGCATACATTTTCACAAGCTTAAGCATTCTCTCTCTCTCTCTCTCTCTCTCTCAATCATGTCCGTGAGGAGGCTGTGCAATGCTTCTCTTATAGGAGCTCTGGCACTGATAGTGCACTTATGCATGGTTGATTTGGCCATTTGTTCCTCGAACTTCACAGACCAATTAGCTCTCCTCAGCTTCAAATCATCCATCAAAAATGATCCCAACAATGTGTTGAGTAACTGGACGAAAGAACAATTTTTGTGGCTGGGCCGGGGTCTTATGCAGTCGACGTAGGCAAAGAGTCACAGGCTTGCTCCTTGGCAACAGGAGTCTCGAAGGCACCATTTCTCCTCATATTGGTAATCTTTCTTTCCTCCAACTACTCGATCTTGGCAACAATAGCTTCTACGGTCATCTGACAGATGAAATAGGCCATTTGTGTCGCCTAAAAACCCTTCGTTTGTATTTTAATATGTTAGAAGGAAACATCCCACTGGGTTTACACCACTGTCAAAGGCTCGAAGTGATATCTCTTGCAGGTAATAAATTTAGTGGTAGAATTCCGAAAGAGTTGAGCACCTTGCCCTCTCTAAGTTTCCTTGCTCTCGGAAAAAATGAACTTGTAGGTACTATTCCACCTTCCTTTGGCAACATTTCAAGCTTAGAAGTGTTTGGGCTAGAACATAATCACATTTATGGAAACGTTCCAACTGAATTGGCACAACTTCCAAATTTGAATATAATTGACCTTATATTCAATCATCTCACAGGTCCAATACCTCCTGCAATTTTTAACAAGTCTTCAATGGTTAAAATTGGCTTGAGTTTGAATGCCTTTTCTGGAAACCTTCCAACAAATAATGGCATTTTCCTTCCTAATCTTGAAGTCCTCCATTTGGATGCCAATCAACTAACTGGAAACATCCCTTCATCTCTCTGCAATTCTTCTAAGCTCACTATGCTAGTTTTACCTACCAACTTGTTTACTGGACCCGTACCAAAACATTTAGGCGATCTAAAACACCTAGAACGTTTGTATTTAGATCAAAATCAACTGACAAACGAACCAGGAAGTATTGAACTTAGTTTTCTCACAGATTTGACAAATTGTACTTCCTTGGTGGAGTTGTTGGTGGGACAAAATAAATGGAGTGGCACCCTACCCAATTCTATTGGAAATCTTTCAAACTCTTTGCAAGAACTCGATGTAACTGAAAGCCAACTAATTGGTACAATTCCTAAAGAGATTGGTTCTTTGAGGAATTTGAATCTACTTGCATTGTCTAACAATAATCTGAATGGAAACATCCCCTCAACTCTTGGAGAAATTAAAAGCTTGCAAAGGTTGTATCTTGACGGTAACAACTTTCATGGATCAATTCCAAATCAAATTTGCCTTTTGAGCAACTTAGGGGAACTTATTGCAAATCAAAATAAGTTATCTGGATCGATCCCAAGTTGCATTGAAAATCTTAGAGGTTTGCAGGTGATGAGGCTTTCTCATAATAAATTGACCTTCATACCGTCAAGTTTATGGAACCTTGAAACTTTAAGGTACTTGAGTCTTTCATTCAATTCATTAGGTGGAAGCCTAAATCCAAACATAAAACCATCGAGAGTGATGGAAATCATGGATTTATCTTGGAATCAAATCTCAAGAAGCATTCCAAGAGTTATTGGGTCATTTCAAAGCCTAACTTCTTTGAACCTGTCTAGGAATTCATTCTCGGGACCCATTCCCAACACAATGGGCAATTTGATAACATTGGATTTCTTGGATTTTTCACACAACAATCTATCTGGACAGATACCTAAGTCTCTTGAGGCACTTTCACATATCCAATACATGAATTTCTCTTGCAACAAGTTGGCTGGGGAGATTCCAAATGAAGGGCCGTTCATGAACCTCATATCACGGTCTTTCATGGAGAATGAAGCATTTTGTGGGAATCCTATTTTGAAAGTGCCACCATGTGCAAGCAATAGTTCCAAGAAGTCGATGATTAAAATTAATTTTCGATACATTCTTCCTGTCATTGCATTGACACTAATCTTTTCTATTGGTGTGTATATTGTGAAAAGAAATCATGGAAATAATGTCCAAAGTCAAAATCTGATAGATTCATATGCAACAACGGAGCACAGAATGATTTCATATTTAGAGCTTCTACGAGCCACAGATGATTTCAGCGAAGCCAACTTGCTTGGAGTAGGAAGCTATGGCTCGGTATACAAAGGTGTACTTTCAGATGGGACAATTGTCGCTGTTAAGGTTTTAAATTTGCAACTTGAAGGAGCTTTCAGAAGTTTTGATGTAGAATGTAAAGTGTTGCAAACAACTCGACATAGAAATCTCATTGGAGTTATAACAACATGCTCTAATCCTGAGTTAAGAGCATTGGTTTTGCAGTATATTGATGAAGATTCAACACAGAAATCAACACAGCAACACTTAACACAGCAGTCCAACCACTTATCACAGCAGTTCAAACAGTCCGCAGCTGCAGCTATACCAGATAGCAGAGCACACAGTGTACAGAAGGGCCAGAGCAGCAGTTCACGAAAGGTGCAGATGTAGTGCACACCATGAGCTGTATAACATGTTAACAATTTCCTTTAACTGTATGCAGTTAGTTTGTTACAGATTAGTTAATTAGATTAGTTAGGTTGTTAGATGATTAGTTACAGATTTGTAAAGTTGTATATAATGTAATTGTGAGATGAATAATATGCAACAAAAACATTTTCAGATTTTCAGACTTTCTTCATTCCATTCCCCAAAACACTCCGATGGTGATAGCTCCATGCCTCGCAAAACATGTACCATCAAAGTTTACCTTGAAGAAACCCACATTTGGGGCTCTCCAACACTGATTCGAGCTCGAGCATGGGATGCCATTCACCCTTTAAATCTTTCTCTTCTTCTTTCCAATCTCAATTCGTTAGTCACTGTCAAACTTGACTCATCAAATTATCTAATTTGGAAAAGTCAAGTTCAGAATTTGTTTAGAGCTACAGAATTTTTTGGTTATCTTGATGGATCAGTTGTTTGTCCTTCTTCTACAACAATAAATGCACAGAATATTTCAGTCGCCAATCCAGAATTCAGCAAATGGAAGCTTGTCGATGCACATCTTCTGAGTTGTTTAACTGCAACCCTGTCACCACCAGTGTTTTCTTCTGTATTGCACCTGCAGTATAGTCATGAAGTATGGCTCGCTCTGGAAAAGAGATTTACTGCTTTATCACGCTCACATATTCATCAACTCAAGAACAAACTTCAATCACTTTCAAAGAAATCTCAAACCATGGAGACCTATCTACAACAGTTTAAGGAAATTTCAGATCAAATTGCACTTGTTACTACACCTATTGAGGATGAAGATCTTATTCTTCTTGTTTTAAATGGCCTTCCTGATGAGTATAACTCATTCAAAACAGCTATTCGAGCCAGATCTGGTGCTGTAACAATGGAAGAAGTGTCCTCCTTGTTATGTTCTGAGGCAATCCATATTGAGAAGATCAATCTACATTCTTCTCCTAATATTGCTTTCTCTGCCGTTCAAGGCACTTCTTCTACATCTCAAACCCTAGCTTCATCATATCAGCCTTCTCAAGGTTCACACCATCAACATTTTCCGTCAGGTTCTTATCGGCCAAATTTTTCTACTTACAGAGGAAATCGTTCCAATTTTCGTGGCAGAGGTAGATATACAAATTCTTCTAACTACAGAGGTCGTCGTGGTTCAGGTCTTGTTTGTCAAATCTGTGGCAAAAACAATCACACAGCTCTTGAATGTCGTAACCGCATGAATCCAGCTTATACACCAGTTCTGAATCCAGTTTATGTACCAGCTTATTCACCTTCGTATGGCTCTATTTCTAGTTCACCAACTCAAGGAGGCTATCCTCTGCCTCCTCTCTATCCTGGTGGTTCTTCTCCATCTTCTACAGCTCCTCGTGCTTTCTCTGCTGCAGGTCCTGGTTCTTCTTCTTCTGTTTCATCTGAGGCTTCTCCTTGGTATCTTGATTCAGCTGCTACCACTCACATCACTAATGACTTGCAACATATGCAGCTGTATCAACCCTATCAAGGTCATGATCAGGTTGTGGTAGGAAATGGAGATTCTCTTCCTATTCATCATAGTGGAGCTGGTATTCTTCCTACTCCTACCTTTCGTTTTCAGTTGAACAATTTACTTCATGTTCCACAAATTTCTTCCAATCTTATTTCTGTTCATCAGCTCACTCAAGATAATAACTGTACCATCACTTTTGATAAAAATTCCTTTGTTGTTCAGGACAAAACTTCGAAGGCAGTGCTTTCTAGAGGTTTTCACTCTAATGGTCTTTACCAGTTCTCTACTCCTCCAAAGGCTTATGTTTCTCAAACCATCTCTTCTACCTTGTGGCATAAGCGATTAGGTCATCCATCCATTGCTAAGTTCAATACTATAGCTAAGTCTGTTCCTATTGTTTGTAATAAGGATACTAATGGACTTTGTTCACACTGTTGTGTAGCTAAAAGTCATCGTTTGCCTTTTACCTTGTCTTCTTCTGTTGTTAATCAACCTTTTGCCCTCATCCATAGTGATGTTTGGGGTCCGTTTACTCAAGATGAATCTCAATATAGCTACTATGTTCTCTTTATTGATGATTTCAGTGGCTTTACTTGGTTGTTTCCTTTACATTACAAGAGTGAGGTCTTTACTAAGTTCTTGGAGTTTAAAATGTTTGTGGAAAAACAATTCTCCACCTCTCTTAAGATTTTTAGATCCGATGGTGGTGGTGAATATTCTACTCATAAATTTAACAAATTTTTCACTGAAAATGGTCTTGTTCATCAATTTTCTTGCCCTCATACTCCATCTCAAAATGGATTGGCCGAAAGAAAACATCGCCATATTATTGAAACAGCTATAACTCTCTTGCATCATTCCTCTTTACCTCTCAAGTTCTGGTTTGAAGCAGTCTCTACTGCTGCTTACCTCATTAATAGATTGCCTAGGTCTCAATCTCCTTGTCTTAGTCCTTTTCAGGTGTTATTCGGTGTCCAACCTGACTATGATTTTCTGAGAGTGTTTGGGTGTTGTTGTTATCCCTGGCTTCGCCCATATACCTCTCACAAACTTGAGCCTCGATCTCTTCCTTGTGTCTTCATTGGTTATCATTCTTCCATGAAGGGGTATAGGTGCTTGGATCCTGCTACTGGTCGAGTATATGTCTCTAGGCATGTAATCTTTGATGAAACTCAATTTCCCTTTGCTACAGTTTCTTTTTCTTCCTCATCTTCTCCTTCTTTGTCTACTCTTCAGTCTTTCTTTTGGTCTTCTCCAACTGTTACTCCTCTTTCTTCTCCCTCTCAATCTTCTCCATCTTCTCCTTCTCCATTACCTATCTCTTCTGCACAATCTTCATCATCTTCTTCTTCATCTTCATGTCCTTCCTTGGCTGCTCATCCTGGTATTCATCTATCTATACCTATTCTTCCTCATCCTCCTTCTTCTTCTTCTAATACTCATCCTATGCTTACTCGGTCCAAAACTGCCTCTTCTCGGTGTTTATCAGCTTCTGTTTCTCCATCTCTTATTGAACCTACCTCCTATAAAGAAGCTCTTCAGTCTCCTCATTGGTTGGCCGCTATGCAGACTGAGTTTCAAGCTCTTCAAACTCAGCATACTTGGACTCTAGTTCCACCTTCTACTGCCACCCATATTATTGGTTGTAAATGGGTATTTCGCATTAAGAAACATTCTGATGGTACTATTGCTCGGTACAAGGCCCGATTAGTTGCTAAAGGTTACTTGCAAGAAGCAGGTGTTGATTTTCATGATACCTTTTCTCCAGTTGCTAAACAACCTACTGTTCGGATTTTATTTTGTTTAGCTCTTCACTTTAACTGGTCTATTCGGCAGTTAGATATCTCAAATGCCTTCTTGCATGGTATTCTTGATGAAGATGTTTTTATGCACCAACCCCCTGGTTTTGTTTGTCCTAATCAACCCTCCTTTGTTTGTAAACTAAATAAGTCTCTCTATGGGCTTAAACAAGCTCCTCGAGCTTGGTACACAGCTTTTTCTTCCTATCTTCTTTCCACAGGATTTGTTCATAGTCAATGTGATCATTCTTTGTTCATTCAGAAAACTGCTTCCTCCATTACTTATCTTCTTGTCTATGTTGATGACATTTTAATTACTGGCAACTCCTCTTCTCATATTCATTCTCTCATTTCTCATATGCATTCTGTTTTTGCTCTTAAGGATCTTGGTCTGGTTAGTTACTTTCTAGGTATTGCTGTCCATCACACACCTACTGGTTTGTTTTTATCCCAACAAAAATATGCTGCTGATATTTTACTCAAAGCTGGTCTTGCTGAATGTAAGCCTTACTCATCTCCTTTGTCTCTCAAACCTTCCTTCTCTTCTTCTGCTGATGATTCCTTGCCCTTTCATAATCCTTCTCTCTATCGCAGCATTGTGGGAGCTCTTCAATACCTCACTCTTACTCGTCCTGATCTTTCTGTTGCTGTTAACATGGCTTGTCAACATATGCATTTGCCTTCTGTCACTAATTTTGCAGCAGTCAAACGAATCCTTAGATATCTTAAGGGTACTCTGCACTTTGGTCTTAATTTCAGTCCTGGTTCTTTTGATCTGCATATCTTCTCTGATGCCGACTAGGCTGGTGATCCCTCTGACCGCAGATCTATTTCTGGGTTTTGTGTTTTTCTGGGTTCTAACCTCATTTCTTGGCAAGCCAAGAAACAACCTACTGTTGCTAGGTCTTCCACTGAGGCCGAGTACAGAGCTTTGGCCCATGCTGCAGCTGAAGCTTCTTGGGTTCAAATGCTTCTTGCTGAAATGTTCTTGTCTTCTTCCACCATTCCTACTCTTTGGTGTGATAATCTGTCTGCAATTTCCCTTGCTTCTAATCCTGTTTTCCATGCTCGGACCAAACATATTGAAATCGATTATCATTTTGTTCGCGAAAAAGTTCTTCACAAGCAACTTCAAATTCGCTATGTTCCTTCCTCTGAGCAGATTGCTGATATTCTTACTAAACCATTGTCTGTCTCTCGCTTCCTTTATTTGCAATCCAAGCTACTGGTGACTGCTGCCCCATTCAGCTTGAGGGGGGCTGATGAAGATTCAACACAGAAATCAACACAGCAACACTTAACACAGCAGTCCAACCACTTATCACAGCAGTTCAAACAGTCCGCAGCTGCTGTTGCCGTTAAGGTTTTAAATTTGCAACTTGAAGGAGCTTTCAGAAGTTTTGAAGTAGAATGTAAAGTGTTGCGAACAACTCGACATAGAAAGCTCGTTGGAGTTATAACGGCATGCTCTAATCCTGAGTTAAGAGCATTGGTTTTGCAATATATGTCTAATGGAAGCCTTGAAATGTGGTTATATTCTCATAACTCCTTCCTTAATCTCCTTCAAAGGATTGGCATCATGATTGATGTAGCATTAGCTCTGGAATATCTCTATTATGGTCAATTAGAGCCTGTGGTTCACTGTGATTTGAAGCCAAGCAATGTCCTTCTCGATGAAGACATGGTTGCACATGTTGCTG